AAAAAAAAAAAAAAAGAAAATGGTTAAAAAGCAAAATAATAATATTAAAAACTCGTGAATCTGTGATACCTGTTGTTCGAGTTCCGGCGAATCAGAATTAGTTTTGTTTAATTCTTCTTTAATCGTCAATAACGCTGACTGAAATAAATAAGAAAATAAAAAATAAATAAATCAACGTTAGTCGTGAAAACGAGTAAAATCAGTTTGTAAATTAATAAAATTACGTGTGATCGATCATATATATACTTATAATAAATTATTTTATTTAACAATTATAGATGATTAATAATGTAATTAAAGTTATACTTCCTTTTTCGATTAAATATTATGATATCAAACGTCACACCAGAGAGTCACATTTCCCCTTTCCTTTTCCTTTTTGTTTTTTTCTCCTTTCTGTTGGTGTTTTTTTTGTTTTATACACACACGCGTTTAGTTAAAGTACCTGCGACACGGTATTACGCAACTACCGCTGTTCCCATAAAAGACTCTAATGTTTATTCTTACTTGAGTAATCGATCATTGATTTGATATTTACGATAAGTTTTGACGAGAAAGACGCATGCATAATTAAAAACTTGTTAGGATAGGAGAATTTTTATCGTATATACGTATCGTTAAATTACTTTCACGTTTACGTCTTATGAAAGTCATCATCATCATTCACAACTTGCATTTCATTAGTTATATACATATATATATATATATATATATATTTTTTTTTGGTCACTTTCGAGAAGATATCAAAAAATATAATATACGATTTTGTATGAATATTTATATATTAATTTTCTAGTATAATATATTCAAGAAACAAAAAGTCGACGTTTCAATGAAAAATAAATAGGGGAAAGGATAAAAGATAAAAGATAAAAGTATTACCTCGTTATAGGCTGGAGCAGTTTGTACCTTCTGTGATGTCATACCTTTAATGATCTTCAAAATTGGCGAAGTTGTTCTGACGTTGGTCTCGTTTTGCGAATTTCTTCTTAAAACTCCTAACAATTGTAAAAGTTCACCTATCGTATTGGACGGTCTTTTTCTATCTTCCTTTTTTTTATTTTCCGTTTCTTGCCTAACATTTTTCTTCGTCGAATTGTTCATATTATCCTCCGTTACGAAATCGTCGAAAATAACGTTAATTTGACCATCCTGATCAATAAGAGTGTAATTTCTTTCGAAATAGGGAGGAAATTCGTCGGGTGGTTCTCTCTTAGGTATTAACAAAAGATTTTTCGTTTTGTTAGGTGGAATTGTAGATTCGGTTGATTGTTCTCTCGTTATAGTGATAACTGCTTCGAATGGTACGCTTATCAATGGTATAATAGGACCATTGCTAATATTTCTATGAATATTCGTAAAATTATTTGTTTGTCTTATCGGTGCGGATAATTCCAAAGGATTATTGATAAACATGTTATTAACGTTCGTTAAATCATCGTTGTTGAACGTTTTGAAATCGAAATTGTTCGTAAAGTTTTTCTCAAACTCGTCGAAGAATAATTTGCCTATCGGTTCTTCTTGTCTGTATCCTGAAATTCCAGGATTACTGATTGGTACGGGAAGATAAGTTCCTGCTGGTTGTGGTATAACAACGTTGTTCGTGTTACGTATGATTTCTTCGTCGTTCAAATCGTATGTATTTTTCGTACCAAAATTTGGATACTGCGGTAAGAAAAGATTGCTTTCCTGTTTAGCATTGAATCGCGTTGTTGGAAATTGCGAAGAAGATACTACCTTCGTTTTAATCTCCGTATTATATCTCGATTGAGTTTTACTAGGCGTTTGTAATTTCGAAGAACTTTTCAAACGATTCTGATCGACCTTTGATAATTCTTCCTTGACCGAAGACAATGTTACATTTATCCTCGATGCCATCAAACCCATCACGTATTTAGCCCAAGCTATCAGATCATCCTTGGTAGCTATTTTAACGGGCAATTGAATTTCTAAAACTTTCGGAGACTCGGCGAAACCCGCTTCCTCTCTTCGTCTATTCGTATTATCGAAATTTCTTATTGGAGGACCTATTGGCAACGTAATTACCAAATCCATCGTAAATAACACGATTAAAAACGATCCAATCGCGAACCGAGTGAACATGTTTTTTAATTTTCAATTGATTTTCCTTTGTGGTGTCTCACTGATATTATTATTATTAATATTAATTTTATTATTTTATCGTTATTATTATTATTATTACGTATTTAACTTGAAATCACCGTGTATGAGCAGCATACTCCACGATCCCGTAATCGTTCGCATTATTCGCGAACTCGATAATAATGATGATGATAATGATGATCAAAGAAGAAAAAAAACTAAAATGAATTTGTTTGTTCGTTTGTTTTATTATCCCAAGCTCGTTCCAGCGATCATGGAACTGAACGGATTCACGACTCATGGCTACTTTATAAGCGAAAGATAATTATGGGGTTGAAAACTCTTCCCTATAGTCATATAAACGTCTATATTTTTCCATGCACGTTGCGTCTACCTTGCTAGAGTCCATTGGCATTCCTAATCATAGTGCACGTGGGGGCCGGATCAGCCCGGTTGCACTCACTTCCGTCGTTACGTTCGTGTCAGTATAGTAACATAATTATTCGAATACGACTTATTCGTAGATTTGAGTATACGCAACTAAAATATGATAAACCTCTCTCGATGACAAGTATCATTTCGTAAGTTTTTTTTTCTTTTTTCAAACTTCCAACTATCGGTAAGAATAATGATGATGAAATAGGTATCTCTTGCTAAACGTATATATATCTCTCTGTCGTTAAGAAATTCGTCCGATTTTCCTTCGTTTTGTTTCTTTTTACGACTTTCCAATTGGTAATAGATACTTGAAAAAAAAAGGGAAATAATATTTTAAAAAAGATACCGTAAAAAAAATAGTATTGATATCCGACACTAATGTGAAACGTTTTATTTATTACAAGGGATGATTAAACGTTGATTAGTTAAGAACAATTGTGAACGATCGGGTTAATTGTAATTAATTAAAATGGTAAATGAAAAAAAAAAAAATAACATAAAAGAATTCTCCAGTTGAGATACCAAGAAAATTCTTTCCAAGACACCGCGGCAATGATCTTGATCTTACAAAGAATTCTTTTGCCATAAAATAAAATACAAAGAAATAACACGAATAACCATGAACGTGATAGCAATCCGCGAATGATTTTCCGTTAGAAATCAAAATCAAGGACTTGTTTGCATCGTTAATCTCCCACGCTAATGAAAGTTTTTCCTAACTGCATTCGCTAAGTGCATGCAAATTGCATACACCTCCTATGGCTTTCTATACGACGACTACGACAACGATATTCCTTTTGCTTTCTCAAATTTGTTCGGTGCAGTATTATGAAAATACAATGAAACCTGACGAAAGTTTTGAGAAAGTATTATATATACAACAACAACAACATTATACTCCAATGTAATAATAATTAATCGTTTAAACAATTTTTGATACCAGTTGCATCCTCGTTTGTAAACGAGTCTCGAAATGGATTTGTGTCACGTCGATAACCGTTAAGATCGGTTACTGACCAGATCTAAACAAGTTTATCGTAACCATAAACGATCCTGTTTCACAGACTATCAAGAATTACTTTTATGGTATCGATGTTTTCAAGGACACACAAGAACTTATTTAGAAGATCGCACAACATTCTTTTCTTAAAGTTTCGTTTCTATGCACACAAGAAACATTCGTTAAAACCAATCCCACGTTTCAATGTATATTTATATTTAGGTACGTGTATCTACACTTTTTAACAAGGCTGATCACGCGTATTACACCGATCCTGGCATTGGGAATCATCAATTTCGAAAGTTTCAATTACATTTCTTTAGATTCTCATTGCATTTCCCCCATCAAACTTCAATTACGTATATGCATTTGCTATTCTTGTTTTTTTTTTTTTTTATTATGATCGATCGATCGATCATGTTTATCATAATTGAACAAAATTATGAACGTTTATGATTATGTTAATGTGACGATTGAGAATAGATTTTGTTTTTTTTTTTTATAGTGCGTAACATAATATAATGATTATAAATTTATGTATCTTATAAACTTAAGCTTTCTCTCAGTCAATGGCAAAAAGATATAACAAGAACAAAATCACGATATATATTATAATAAAAAAAACTATCGATGTGAGAATTAAAGATCTTACGTAAGATCGAAGAATTCGAAATAACTTATGCTTAAATATTTCTTAAAATTATGGACATTTTAATCGAACGAGATTTGTGTATTTATTCAAGATCACTAAAACTTTCGCTTTTCGTTTCAGGTTGTTCCTTTTTTTTTTTTTATTTCAAACGAGAGGCATTCCGTCGACCTTCCTAAAAAAAAAAAAAAAGAAGAAATTCTCACGTTATCTTTTATATTTCTTTTCTTTTAAAGGATTAAATGGAAAAGAAGATGATGATTAATATTAATTGCAACACGCCTTTTTTGTTTACTTCTTTTTTAAGCTATATAAAATCAGATAGATGAACGTATGAGTTTGTTAACAAACAAACAAAAAGAACGTACGCATACATATTCTAACCTTTTTTTTTTTTTGTCAAAGTTTTAATCTAGATTGAAAGTATTTAACCGAGTAAATGATGTATTTGCAAATACGTGTGCGTTGAATGTGAGCTGGGTGTAAGGCGTGTGTATATGTGTTTAATTTTCTTAAGTTCGTGCGAGGACACGTTCGAGATATCGTGCGTTACGGTATCGAGTTTGTTAACTTGTAAAAATGTATGCACTAAGTAAAATTGTAATGTACATGCATATAAACACATACGTTACGGGGATGCTCCGATGAGCAAAGTAAAACAGGGCAGGGAGAGAAAATATGAATAAATGCAAACTTGCATCGAGACTTTCCATTGCGCAGATGTTCGCCAGTACTAACTGGACTCCCGTACTATTTGTTTCTGTGTGTATGTATGTGTGTAGGTGTTTGTATGTGTGCATATTTTTTCATTTTTGACAAGTTTTTTCTAATTGATTTGTTAAAAAAAAAACTACAAAAGAAAGAAGAAAAAATATTTCTCTGTTATCTATCATTGTATATAATTTTCGCAATCATTATCATACTTTCTATCATTGTCTCTCCATCTGAAGATGGAACCTGCATAGGTAAATAAATTACAAAACGATCACCATTTTACGATAACACATTTTTATACCTAGATTAGATACTATACTTTATTTTTTAGAATTCGCGTACGATCTATTAATAAAATAAGGAAAAGGTTGAGAAGGAACATATATAAAAAAAAACAACGATGTCGTTAATAACCAATGCAAAAACTGGTTTTCGTAATATTCATGCAGGTGAACCTATGCAATGACGTTCATTAAATGTTGATTTTTCTTTCTCTCTCTCTCTCTTTTTCCTCAACACATGTAGCATATATGGATATTCACTTTTCAATCTCTCGGGGTGTTAGCAATTGTTACAACATTTAATAACGTAAATGTAAAAAAAAAAAAAAAAAGAAGAAAATAAATTCTCGTTAAATGTAAAATAAAAAATATAAAACAACAAAATCTCTTTAAGTTTTCTATTGAGTTCGGAAGAGGCACCTTTGACATTAACGATTAATTATTTGTCATTAGGCGTGTATCAGGAATATAACTGTAATCATAATTATATAGGGTGATTGGAAATAACTATGACAATAATGCATCGAAATACTACTACTATTATTACTCGTTCAATAAAGGTGTCTCCGTCTGGTGAACGTTCACGAAAGTCACATAAGTTTCAACTACTAATACTAATGTTACTATTACTATTACTATTTCTACTACTACTTCTTACATCTACTTTTGTTGCTGCTGCTGCTGTTGTTGCTGATCTAGGACTCGGACTTTCAAGTTCTCAACGTCCGGTTGTACAGTCGGTAAAATCGCGGCTACGTTACAAAAATTCTTCCTAGAAAAAGGGTTTTTCCTGTAGGAAAAAAAAAGAAAAAAAATATAATTCATCCTACAATTATCCAATCAAATTCATTCCCTTGTTTCTTTTCATTCGTTAAAGTCGAAGAATTTCCAAGCGAATCGATTATCTTAATTGTAATTTTTTTTTTTTAAAGGAATGTATTATATATATATAAAAAAAAGAAAAAGAATACTAATCGTCTAATCGATCACACACGAATACAATATCGATCGATGCGATCCTTGTTTTTTTTTTATGTTGCATATTATGCAAAACAAGCAAGGTTAACGACATAATTTAGCGTTAGAGATAAATCTAGAAAGAATAAAATTAAAATTTCAATGTTAGTTAATTACATCTATATTATTTATTCCTTTATCTTTCTTTCTTTTTCTCATGCACATATTATATGCAAAACTTTTCATTATCCTTGCTACGGAGATATTATCACAGTCGTTGAGTAACTTTTCTCATTTTTTTTTCTTCTTCTTCTTCTTCTATAAATTACATCTTTGGATTGTTTTAACGATGAAACAAAACAACTGTTTATTAACGTTTCACGACCTTTAAAGAAATTTTATGCAATTATCGTCTTTAAAAGTAATACGAAGCTTTAATAAAGACGTTTTTATTTACGTCACTATGCTTTAAATAGTAATCTTTGACAGTAGTATGATACAAAAAAGGCTTTCGCCAAAGTGTTCACAAATACGTATCACGAATACCACCATAATTAATCGTTATGTGTCAGTAATGAATATAGTTATGCGTTAAATATTTAACACAAATGGTGGGTGTTAAGTAGGTGGATGACGTTCATACATTTTTTTTTCATAATTATCGTTCATCGACACGTTCGAATAGCAACAACAGTAACTCTAAAAGATTATCTAGTAAATTTATACACGATTTAAATACAATCGTATAATCTAATCTAACTGAATAGATGGATTATGACTAAGCCACAATCTTTTGCAATGGTTACGTTTTAGAAAAGGAAAAATAAAAAAAAAAAAAAAAAAAGAAAAGAATAAAAAGTATGTAAGAAATCCTTGGGCCCCTTTAATACGAACGCAAAACAATTTCGAAAATGATTTTAAATTCTCGTCGTTTAAAAAGCGTGAAACCTATTTTGAATTATCCGTATCTAATATAAAGATCGATACTAAATCTATTAACTGGTATATATATATGATCTTCGAACATGTTCGATTACGTTTAAATCTTATTTCTTTTAATCGAATGCTAAACATCTCGATGATTTGTACGATAATAACAATCTATTAAAATACATTAACTTATATATCGAAGATAAACTATTCATTTATATTTGTATTCTTCACAGGTGTTATCCAATCAATTTAAATAGAAACTTAGTTAGTCAACGAGGAATATTATTACATACCCCACACAGTTACGAAAATCAGGATACGGAAAATGTTTAATCGTGCATTTATATGCTCGTACATTTACGTATATAAAATATATGTAACTAAGATCATTGATTATTTCTTTTCTATTACACACTGTATTATATACTTTATTCTTATTATTCATAATATATTAAGGTAATTATATAATCAATTCCTGTAATTCATTCCTATAATTCTGAGCAATAAAAATTTCTTCAATTTCTAGATAAACCTTAATCAATTTATTATACATATAATCATGATCAAATTAGAGATATCGATATTTTCTAAAAATGAATATAGGAAGACTACGTTATTGAGAGAAAGAGAGAGAGAGAGAGAGAGTGAGAAAAAGAAGGAAAGAAATTTCAATTAGATTTGTTTTTATTTGATAACATAACTCCGTCAACGATTTAACCTGATTACGACAAACGATGATCGAACATACACGTTTGAATTTCCTTTAAGATAATTCTCTCTCTTACCGGAACGAAACGCATGTCTCGTAATGTTGTCGTCTTTGCTTTGGCATTAATCAATGCATGTTACGTGAATCTAAGATCGGTTATGCGAACAGATAAGAAATCAATGATCAGGATGTATGGTGTATGATACATGTCCGTAGAGAGAAATGAAAAATAAATAATAAGAGCATCGCGGAGCTCTTGCTTTCCTTTTTAATTTTTTTTTTTTATATATATATATATGTTTACGTAAGCTTCGTTTAAGACATAATTACTATTTTTTTTTTTAAAACAAACATGTTCAACTAAAAAAATATATATCTTTTATATAAGAACAATGAATTATTAATGCACGTAATTTTCATGTAACTAGGTCGTTTGGTTTTTAAACAATACTGTTCTATGCGAATTCGTATTATACGAAACGAAGAACTAATAAGAAATAAAATAAGAAAAAAAAAAACAGAATTTACCTTTAAATAATTGTATGTTTTATGAGATAAACTAATTTTATCATGTATAAATAGAAATGAATGAAATAATCAAACGCAAATATTGTTTCTCGAGAATAAACATATATTTAAAAAAACATGTTACTCGGTAAAATTGTTCAATACAAGTTTTCTCTAATTCTTTGAGATATTCCCTTTGAATTGTCGATGAAAGTGCATTATAAAGCGAGTGGTGTGAATGTATCGGGTTAGTTATGTAAAGTCGAAAGTTCTCATCGGAAATACATCAAGTATGTCCAAGTTTCTACGTTAAATTTTGGTCCATAATACGCGAGTTTATCTCATTAAGAAGATAAAATGAAAAAAAAACAAAAACAAAAATAAAAAGATACGTGCAATTGTGTTCAATACTAGGAAGTATTTGCATTGTATATTTTTAATGAAAAGTATTATCTCACAGGGAGACTAGTTTATATTCACATGTAAAATAAATTTCAGATAAGTATCTGAAATTATCTTGTAAGTGATGGTATGTTACATATAAAACGTGTACGACTACGTGCGTACACGCATAGATCATTTTAAAAGACGAGAAAGATAATGAAAAGAAAATTAATGTCCTCATTTTCTTCGTCTTTTTTTGTCTCTTTCTCTTTTGTTATAAAATATAAAGAGAAAGAAGTATAAAGAGAGAGAGAAAGAGAGATAGACAAAAGAAAATAATTATACTAACTGACGTTTGTAAATTTGCTGCTGTTGCTGCTGCTGTTGACGAGTTGCAAGCGGATACGTCGAAATAAGAAATAATAATAATAATAAAAAAAAGAAAAGAAAGAAAAAAATCTGGAGTATAAAAATAAGATCGCGGACATATTTGATTATTCGCACGATCGCGCGCGTGCAAAAATTAATTTTGATCAGTATTATAAAATGTGCCATTTCATTTTGGCATCGCGAAATATTAAATAAATATTATTTTTATTTCTTTTGCACAAAAAATAATTAAAATATTATTACAAAATTGATAAGCATTATAATATGATGGACTCTATAGCTAATTTTATCAAATATGAGTACATTAATATATTTTTTTTTTTTGTATAGTAATTATAAAAGAACAAAAAAATACTGTTCATGTATCTTATGACAGGAAAATGATTATTACCTATAATCGTCGTTCTTTTTAATCTGACACCATGATTAAAAATATTCTCAAGTGGTACGACAAAAAACTTTTTCCTGTCTAAACGTACTTAATACATTTTTTTTTTTTTATTTTCGTTTATTTTTTTATAATAAAATATTTCGATCTTATTAGCAGATCTTTCTTTTATATTTTGAAGTATATTATATATATATAAGCTATATGCTCCTTGGTGAAAGCAAACGAAAGTATACTTTGCTACGATGTTTATTACGTCATATTCCTATCCAAAGAAGATACTAACAAGAATTTAGTTTGATTTCGTTGATTGTAATTACTGTGAATTCATGTTACGAGTATATGGGCACATACTTGATCATATATAAAAAGATATCATTCTTTGCATGTTCGAATGATTCGATCATTAACCATGGAAAATAATAACTATGCAAAACATGAGACTCTTAAAAACGTACTGTTTAGAAAACCAGTTATTTATATCCATCATGAAAACAAATCTTACCGAGTTTGGTACTTTTAATGGATGGATCAACAAATCTTGAAAAAAAAGAAATACAAAATTCTAACTTATCCTCATTATTCTCATTTTATATTATTTTAATCACGTAGCAAGCTCTTCAAAAATAATATTACTTTTTATAGAAACATTTGTGGAATTTTATATCGATCATTTTCTTTCAACTTTTTATTATCTTTCAACCTACTCACGAACATGTATAATATATTCTATTAAAGGGATCAAACCTTATGAAACATTTATGTTACGTGTCGCAAACTTATCACGTGTATTCATTTTTGTATATGATTTTAATGTTGCTGTTATCCGAATTAACTTTCAAGTTTTCTATAGAATATATTGCCACATTTTTCATTTTTTTATGATGGTCGATTCTTTCCATGCTCTAACGAACGGGTCAATTATTTAACGTAGTAATTGGTCACGCGTATTGATTATTATATTCGATAGATTTTCGTATAAATAATTTGGACAATGTGTAGGAATAATTCAAATCTATTGCAAATTTTCTTTACTCGAAGATCTCATTCGATTTTCTAACCATTGAAAATATTTGTTTTTTTTTTTAATTAGTGAACAATTTAATTCGTATTAAATGTAACTTATTCAAAGATATATATTTTTTTTTTGTCAAGATCTTTCTTAATTCATCCGATTGTGAGATATTCGTCAAGCCATGTAAGTTCACGTCTTAGTTACGAATTATATTCTCGCCTGACAAAAATTCTCATCGTTGAAATCTTTTTTAAGACGAGTTAGATCAAGCATGAAAATTATCGAGGAGTGAAATCTTGAATGAATAACTTTAACTTTCGAACCTTTGCTTTCGTTCCTGTCTTTTAAACGAGAATAAACTGTACATCAAATTGTACAATACACATTATATATAAATAAGTATATACAATAAATTATTTTCACGTTTCAGGAGTTAAAAAAAAAACAAATAAAATACAAATAAAATATAAATAAAATAAGAAACAGAAAATAAAACGATATCACATATAACCATAAAACATTGTACCCTATAAAAAAAATTTAAAAAAAAGGAAATCTTTTTTCAACCATAAGCAAACAATTATTGATCAAATAATATTGATGACATGGGTAAGATCATAGGTTGATTTTACATACGTGAATAGGTTTACTTTTTTTCATAGGTGGATCTTTCATTGAAATGAGGGTCCTTCGACGATCAAGTGGATCGTTTATCGATGTGTTCTTGGGATCCCTTCTTTAGGATCACCATTGAAGTAGCGGAGAGAAAGAGTTAAAAGAGAAAGAGAAAGAGACAGCAAGTTACAGAGTTAAGTGTAGCGTGGAGGTGGTGCCAGGCTCCTCCTTCTAATAAAAGCCGCTCACTAAGCGCCAGTAAACAGACAGTCAGAGAAAAGTCGACGAGAACGGGGCTGTCGGGAGAGCTCCTTTAGGGATATTCAATCAATTCCTTATATAGTTTTTTTCTTTTACAATATTCGAGAAAGTTTTTTTTTTTCAATTAGATATATATATAATATATTTTTGTTTCTGTTCCACAACGTGACACCGCATTCGTAAACGAATTTAAATAATTATATATTTAGGTATACAAATAATAAAATGTTAATTGAAATTTGATATAATATATATATATATATATATATATAAATACTGTGTTTGTGGTGAATTCTGAACGTGGCTTTTATCGAAATTATTATTTTTGTCGTTTAAATAATTGTTTCTTTTTCAATACCTGTGCTGAAACTTTTCCCCCACCTGTTTACCACCACCCACCACCACTACCACCACCACTACTACTACTAACTTCCCTCCCCTTCTTTACTTACACCACAAAGTGTACGAAAATTAGGAAAATTCGTAGATCGCGCGAGTGTGAATTCCTGTGTGAGATGACATTTCAATATAATTACTTTCTTTTCTTTTGTTCGTTGTTTTAAAAGAAACGGAAGGGTAAAAAAAAACAAAGAAAAATCTTCGTTGAATTTTTGTCACGAGTTTAATCGAAACGCACGTGTCAGGTGACAGAAATAAACGATTGGGGAAAAATGGAAATGATTGGAAAGTTATTCGGAAGAAAATATTTTACATAGGGAAGTGAAATCTCTTTAGTGAAAGATCGTAAAGGAAATCGATCAGAAAGGAAAATCGTGATTAAACGTATGCGATTTCGTACGATAATTTCACTCTCGTGTTTGATATAGAAAACTATATAATATAATAATAATAATAATAATAATAATGAACAAATTATTTGTTTCTTACGTTATAACTTCGTATTTTGAAGTTTTGATAGATACGATATGTTGTTGTTGTTGGATTATTAAAATGTCCATCAAATCAAATGACCTCGAGACTGAATAAAATAACGCAATACCTCGTCATCCTCGAGTAGAAAACGTGTGCATTGAATTCGTGCATTGAATCTAATGTGACAGCGATCGTCAAAGTCATTTTTATTTCCTAAACGTCATTCTACTTTATTACTGACCATTCGTTATTAACGAGTATCGAATTTTCATTCTACTTTATATAATTGGAATAATAATAAATTACTACATCATGTTGATAATATTAATCTTTGTTTTACCGGTTATACTTCAGTAATGAATCGTTAAAAAAGAAGCTTTCCAATTTACTTTGCCACGTAAAATTTTAATAATAATAATAATAAAAATTAAACACGTTCGAATAATGAAAAAGATAATTTACGAAAAAACCGAATTTAGGAATTTTACTTTGTTTTCTATTTGTTTAAATGAACACGTTGTTTCTACGTTGTCGTTGAAAATTCTCTTGCGATGAAGATGGGAACGGAATTATCGGACTTTCATTCGGTCGAAAGTGATAGTCTTTAGCTGAACACTATGCTCGAGAAAAGAGAGCCTTTCCTCGGGTTCTCCACCTCCTCCTCCTCCTCCTCCTCCTCCCCCTTCTACCATCACCGTTACCATCATCGTTACCACTACCACCTTTCTTCCTATCGATCTTCCGAGCTACTTCACCTGTATCTTACTTTACATTCCTTTCAATTCGTTTCCGGTCTTCACTAATGGGTTCTAAGCATGATATCGTTATTATAACATGTTCAACATGCATGACCTTCGAATAAGAAGACGAAGAAAAATCTAAACTTCTTTATAATCATCATCATTATCATCATTATCATCAGCACGATTAGCATCATCATTAATAATTAACACAACGTCACAAGAAATATTATTTCTTTTATTTGTCCCAAAAATACGAAAGTTTATTCTCTGTCGTTTGCAGACAAATCTTGTGACGATAATTAAGAAAAAGATAAAAAGCAAAAAAAGGAAGAAGAAGAAGAAAAAAGAAGGAAGAAAAGAAGAAATAAAGAAAGAAGAAAAATGAGGTGTACAACGGTGACTCTGGTGGCTACGATCAGCGTTTTCGCATTGGTCAACTCGTATCCTGTGCCTCAAGAAAGAGGGTTTCGATCAGAGGTAAGTGAATGGAACACAAATTCGAACATTCTTTTTTCTCCCCTCTCTCTTTTCTTTAACTCTGTTTCTTTATCTTTCTCTTTCTCTTGTATGTATATACATATATATATATATAATAATAATAATAATAATAATTAAATAATGTTAGAGGCGAGCTTTCTAAACATTATTCCAACTAATACGGTGTAAGAATGCAATTGGAAGCAATGCGAATAATGAATTATACAAAAGAAAAAATAAAGAAGAAGAAAATAAAATAAAATAAGAAAATATAAACTACGCGATTGGATTCGTTAAATCGAATATCATTTTAAATCAGTAAGATATAACTTCGCGGTTTGAGACCGTTCTATATACCCTGTGTACGATAAATTATCGTTAATTATGAAACAATTTATTATAAGAAAAAGTCAATGAAAATGAATAGCAACGTTATTAGACGTAGTTAATTCTCTTTTATAAATAACTAAATAAAATGCAATTATTTCACGAACATTGCCAAATTACGTAATTTATAAGAGGTATTATGACAACTTTCACTGTGTCACTGGGTCATTTTATCTTTTATGGAAAACTGGTCCGCCTTTTATCTCTCGATACGTTCAAGCTTGGAGAAAGTTGAATTTCTACGATACATTTATACTCATGTCTGTATATATACATATATAAGCATAATATAGTGAACATATGTGAGTCACAGGAGTATTCTTTCACGTTCCCACAACTGTAAATTTGAAATAATTGATATTTCCTTGTAAATGATTAATCATCCAAATTTTTCTATATACTCGTAAACATATTTTTAAATTATTAAAATTTCATTGCAGAAGAGAATATTTTATTATTTAAACGATGACAATTTAGATTAACAAGATTATTTGCAATTACGTAAGATACAATAAAAATACAAAGTAATATTTTGGTATTACAAAAAAGTATTTGATTGTTTTAAATCAACAGTTATACGAATACTTCTGTTACTCTTGTTCATAAATTAATTGTATATATGTATGTAAGAAAAATATTACAAATGGTCTTGATTGTCTCTTAGGTATTGTCATAAATCGATTGCAACGATCGAGTTATTAATTGTATATTTTTTTTTTACTTACACAAACGCGATTACTTTCGCCTCCTGTCGTCCGGTGAAAATAAAGATCTTTCTAAAGAGAAAGAAAGAGAAAGATCTCTCTTCTTTCTTTCTCGGAAGAAGGAAAGAAAAGAAAACAAAAATTTAGTTTGACGAAAATAAAAAAAAGAAGCAAAAAAAAGAACATAGAAATGGACGTAGACGTTCTCGTTGATATTTGACTAGAAATTATGAAAATCTCGTTGGCATGTAAACGTCAACGGTTTGACTTTATCTATCTACAGCAACTTGTTGAAAGTTTTACTTCCCCACGTGACGAAACGAAGTCAGTCACGTAGAAAATACAAGTTGCCCGTTAAAAAATTATCGAGTTAAAAAGCCGAAATAATCGCGAGGTTGTTGCGAGAGAAGAAAATCAACTGCTGGCCCCGTTCAAATTGAATGATCGATTAAAATCTTTGATAAAAATCCTAACACCTATAAATATATATACGAGATCTTCGTAAAAAGGTGCAATACATCGAACACTTTAAACGATCAGATATTTATTACATAGATCGATAATAATTGTTCTATCAAATTACTTCTGAAAAGTTGAAAATAATTATATCAATCTTCTTCGATGATACGATCAAACTGTAATATTGTTTTATACCTTTTTGCAAGAAATCTTTGTTTCAAATCTTTGAAGTATGAGATAATTTGGATAAATCATACTTTCAATATATTTAGAAAAATTCAATCTAACAAAATAATAATCCTCATATACTATATTGTAATAGATTAATTATAACAACTTAAAGGTATTGCACCGTTTTTGTTAAGACTCGTATATATGTGCACAATTCATTCAACAAATCGATTAATTCTATACAACAACAAAAAGTAGATGAGATGAATAAAATAGTTATATCATTTATTATTAAAAACGATTGTATCAATTTTTGCTACTTATTAGTGCTGATTACCAACAATAAAAAAAAAAAAGAGAAAAAAGTGTTAAGCAACGTTAGTAATTAATCAAGTATTAATCTCAAGGATTTCATCTTTTTCTACTCATAATTTGTATCTCTTAAAACCAGAATTGTAAAAAAAAAAGAAATAAAAATTAGCAAATAAAAGAGATGTAAAAATTTTTGAAAGAAGAATTTAATATGGATTTATAAATATCCTTAAAAATATATGAATAGGCAAAAATAAGCAAAGAAAGAGAGAGAGATAGAGAGAGAATATGCGGTCCAAAAAACGAAATCGCGGGCGTCCGAGGCCATCGTGGCTGACTTCTCCTCTCTCGTCTTTTTCAGTTCCGACACTTTCACTGGCCGCGAACGCTACAAACTCAGCGGACACTTTCTTCGAGCTCGATCGATGTCCAATGGAAAGTGCAGCCTTAACATACACGTAAACTCACGCATACACGTTAAAAGATCTATACGAGATTCTTACACGTGTGAGAATCACACACGTATAGATTTTATCAAAATTAATAAAAAAGTAATAATTTGTTTCCGTATTTCTTTCTTTTATCTTGTTTCAATGACGCGCATACATTTTTGTTTTTTATTTTAAAAAATATATAAGTATATATATTTATTACTTTATTCTCTCGAATATATAAGATTCATAATTATTTCGAAATAATTTATGAATCATTTTGAGAAATAAATCGTTACAAAATTTGTCATCGACGTGTTGAATTTTGATTCTATCATTTAATATCTTGTTGAAATATTTCAATGAACTGTGAGTCAACGTTTTAAGATATTATTAAACATTATTAATGATTTCAAATTAACATCATCTCTTAATAATAATTAATGAATTATTATCTCCATGATGTCAATGAAGTTTCATAGAATATATTTGAATACGTAAGTTGTAATTCAACTTGACGATAAATTAATTGAAAAATATCTCACAAGCTTGAATGGGAAAGATATCGACGATGTAATAAAATGTTAAGACTTACTATTCTTGTTAGAAATGGATTTGACGAAAATATGGAATGCTTAAAAGAACACGAACGAGGTTTGAGGGAAAGTTAAATGTGCTGTAGGTAGGTTGTGCAACGTCATCGCACAATGTCCACGCAGTAACACGTGTAACTCGATCTAGATTTTATCGAATATTTTATATTTCACGTTAGGAATATAACAACAAATTGAAAAAATACGAATAGATTTCAAATATATATTTATGATTGAATTAATTAAACTAATGGTACGTTGTTTCAAATTGTAGTCATTATCGAATACATTGTATGTTTAACCTTCATTATAAAATATTCTTGATCACACGTTTTAATTGATCAAGAATACTTGGAGAAGGAAAGAGAAAGAGAGAGAGAGAGAGAATATCGACGTTAGTAATCTCTAGCAAGTTTTTTCTTGAGCTTGTAAATGCATTATCGATTATACCTGTACATGTTTACTTCCATTTAAGCAAATAAATTGCTGACTCAAGTATTTAAACACTTCTATAATAGTAACATGAATGATTTAGCATTATTATATCGATGCTAGATGTTTCAAAAAAAAAAAAAAAATAAACAGAGAAAAGAGACGGGGATTCGATAATTGTTCGAGTTATAATTTGTCAGAAAAAAATATGTGCATAATATAAAAGAAATAGAAAAAAAAGGGGCCAAACGAAACTTTTTTCAGGCTCTCGAACGGTTGTTAATGATCGAAGGGGACAAGGAAGCTGCACTGAGGAATAAAAGGACGATTGGTATTCTTCGTCAACTGTTTCCAGATATTACCCAGGTGAGCTAATGCCTGGTATAAAAAACAAACAAAGAAAAAATAAAAGAAATCAAGAAAATCAAGCTGACGAGTCGAAAAGAAAAATAATCAATTATTTTAAATGATCGATCAAAGTAAACTACAACGTATAAGTTGTTTAGTTAGAATAGATTGAAATTGTAATCCTCGGTAAGATTGCAAGGTTTCGATCATCTTTCTTCTAAAAGATCCTTTCAAAATCTGAACGGATTTGAACGGTCACCTTTCAATTGGAATTCCTGCCGAGAAAGTAATTCTTTCGTTCGTTCGTTCCTTCGTTCGTTCCTCTTTTTATTAATCCACTCTAAACGCAATTTATTGCGGACTCGAAAAGTTATTACGAAAGAGGAGATCATCAATCGGACAAAATTTGTTCGATTATTTTATTTATCTTTCGTATACAAATATATTATATTCCTATTGGAAAAATCGTACCAATCCGATGATTTCCAGGTGTTTAGAACGCCATTTCATCGATCGAACGATAAACTATTAGTCATTACCCAATTTTGAAATGAATTTCTCTATGTTTTGTACACTCCGTTAGATATCTACTCGTAATGAAATAAGACGACGGGCATGACAATAACAATTTACCACGGTGTGTTTCCTTTTTTATATGCCGGCCGAGGCTTTTGCGACAGGAATCGATTTGGTAACGCGATTTCGTTGCAGAAGACCAGATCGTTAATGTCTACTTATGTATTCCGAGATCGTTCAATATTATTTCAAAATCCATCCTCGCATTGATCCTTTTTGGAAATCCATCCTTTAGAAGAGGAGTTAAAAAAAAAAAAAAAAGAATAAGAAAAGGATAGAGAAAAATAATTGTTCCTTCATCGGAATATAATTCTAATATCAATGAGAGAGAATGAACAGAAATCAATGAGAAGATTCCTTTTTTTTTTCTTTCCTTCCGGTTAAGTGATGTTGTTTTTTAGATGATCGATAATAAGGTGAACACTATAGTCGCGGAAATCTTCCGCGTCCTTGGCCCGATCGTGCTAAGAAACGTCCTTGGCAATAATAATAGTGGAAGTGGTGGAGGTGGCAGTACTGGAAGAGCAAACGACAATGGCTCAACCGTAATGATAGAATCACCTTTCGAAGACAACCTGGGGGACAAGGATAATGGTAATGGCGTTCGCGTTGATTCGATCAATTCAAACGGTTCCAGTGTTTCGATTTCTCAAACTACCTTTCCAACGCTGGAGGATAAAAATAACAAATCATCTAGCACTACTACTATTGCGACTACTATTACAACTACTACTCCTACTCCGAGTAGTCTCAATACAACTACTTCCAACACCATCGAATCAACGACAACCGAGAATGCAGCAACAACCGAAAATGCAACAACCGAAAATGCAACAACCGAAAATGCAACAACCGATCTCAATACTTCGGTGCTGTGATCGTTTAACACAAAGCTCGGTAAAATAATAGACGATTATTCCGATCGGAACAGGTGTTTTCTAGCTGTGTTATCTCAAACCTCGCTCTTCTTCTTCTTTTACTACTACTACTATTACTATTTTGTCTGCTGGTTATTATCTCGTAAAAAAAATGACCGCACGAAAAGGACTATTGCGGAAATTCTTCAATTTTCGATATTTTCTCATCACCCTGTCCGTCTGTATTTTCTTCATTTTCGTTTTAGTCTCTGTTTATCGTGCTAACTCATACTCCATATTTACGTTCCTTTTCATGGGACGATCAGGTGTTTGATCGATGAAAAATTCTTTGGACGATTTTTTACCGCGCTCGAAAGACAGCTGCGGTTTTCAAATATTCCCAATACCATTATGGGATATAACTTTATGGGATTGTTCGTTCGCTCTCTCTCTCTCTCTCTTTCTTTCTCTTTCTCTCTCTTTTTTTTTTTTGTAAAAAGTATCTGTGTTCTTGGGAAGATTTTACTGTTGCTAATAAAAAAAAAAAGGATGACGAATGTAAAATATGAATGAAGAGAAAAAAACCAAATGATCGATAAAACTTGATCGTGATCAAACAAAAAGTTTGATCAGCTTAATGATTAGTAACATATAATTGTGTATAATAATTCATAAGTATGCGAGGAACGTAACTCATCATCGATAGGAATAATGGAAAAAAAACAAATATCATTGAATTAATTTTGCCTTTATATAAGTTAACATTCCAACACTTGCACAAATGTTTGATTGATCGATTTATTAATATGATCATTTTATTTATACCATGCCACCCAATTTCAAGACATTATGCTTAAGCGTTAAATCGTCTGCTTTTTCGACTAATCGTTACTAAACTTTCTGTAGTCAAGAACTTTCTCGAGCATTTCACTTTTATTCGTTTGAGATAAGGAGAACTGAAATAGTCATTAAAAGTCAAAAAAAAACATGAGAAGCATCTTATGTTATAGCCAATCACTGAATAATTTAATATGACGAAATAAAATCAAATGTATTACGTAAAGTAACTTTAGAAGTGTAAAATCAGAAAGATGTCCTTGTCCTTGATGGTAATTAATTAATGAAATTCTAATAATATTTCTCGATTTATTTCGATACTTTTATAAACCAACAAAATTACTTATTTCAAGATTTATTTTTTTACGAAAATAATGACGACTAAAATATATTCATGACTTGCTCGACAACGATATTCTTTGACACTTGAAAGTTTTTTATGTTTACAGGATTATAATTCTGTTCCCCATTAAAGATATTTTTGTTCTTTTTTTTTTTTTTTTAATGAAAAAGTGATTCAAGGTAGACTACATATTAGCAATCATTTTTCTACCGTTGTTTTTGCATATGTGTATGCTTTGAGATTGCACTTGTATAAAAAAAAAAAAAAAAAAAAAGATACGCATTTGAAAGACGTGGAATATTTATGTGAAATTGTTTGCTTCTAGGACGTGAATCCTGAGGCGGAGAATCGGGTTAACGAGGTTGGGTCNGTTTACAGGATTATAATTCTGTTCCCCATTAAAGATATTTTTGTTCTTTTTTTTTTTTTTTTAATGAAAAAGTGATTCAAGGTAGACTACATATTTCCAATCATTTTTTTATCTTACCTTGCGCAAATGAATAAGATTTGAAATTGTACTTGTAAAAAAAAAAAAAAAATGATACGCATTTGAAAGACGTGGAATATTTATGTGAAATTGTTTGCTTCTAGGACGTGAATCCTGAGGCGGAGAATCGGGTTAACGAGGTTGGGTCTGAGTCACAGAACAATGAGGTACGCGTGCAATTTGCTGACGAACAATCGGCGAACGAGGCGGTGCCAAATTTAACACCTTTGGAAGACGTCGAAAGCAGTGACGATGAGAACAGAAATAAAAGGTTTTTGAACTTTGGATTTGGGGGGAGTTCGGGTGGCAGCGGAGCAGGCTCAGGCAACTTCCTTTTTGATATAATCAGGGTAAGTTAGTGTCTCTATTGTTACAAAATATGTTTCTCTATCTATCCTAACGATCAAACATTGAAAAATCTATATTTTCATACCATTTTCACATCTATTATCCTATACGGAACAAAAAAACATATTTTATACACATCATTTTATATTCCTTGTTGTCTGATACAGTTAATCGGTTTGGCAAAACAATTATCTAAATAATGTATCTTTTTTTTTATAATAAACCAAATCGGTTAACTCGATTGAAACAAAAAGAAAGAAACTATGATTGATACTTAATTATTCATGATTAAATACAAAAAATTATCTCGATTATTTTAATAATATTAATATTGTATACGTTGTGTCTGTAATAACATAAAAATTATATACACATTTATGTATTATAAGAATACATATTTTATAAATGCAATGTAATCAATCGATTTAACTTCCGAATGCAAATGTGTGTATATTAAAAGAAATTTCGTTTCGTATAGGCTTGGTAAAAAAACAAAAAAAAAAACAAAAAATATATATATGTTGTGTTAATAAATAAGATAATTATATTTAAAAATAAGACGAAGAGCGTTTCGCATCAGGATTTTCTTCGAAGCATATATATCGTTTTGTTGGCTAGTTGAAATATAATATAGTAAGAGAGTGGAGCGTTTTATACGGAAAACGACAAGGGCGTTTAATGCTGAGACGGTAGTGAAAGTATCATCGAATTGCTAGGCCGTGTCTAGCTCCTATTCCAAGGTTCCTGACCTAGGAACGGCCTTAGCTCACTCGAAGATCGCCGTGCACGGAATTTCACAATGCTGCGGTTAATGGAGCCGCTGAGATACGCGAGTCCTTTTCGTTCGATTAAATTTCACCAAATATATCCATCATTTAATTCTAATTTACCAAACAAAAAAAACCAATTCTCTCTCTGTTGCAGATCATAAATAATAATATATGTTAAGTAGGGAACGAGATCACCAATAAAACAAGTCGCGTATAATCGATCGATCTAATTTACAAGACGAAATGTGAATTAAAATTAAATAATGTCCATGGTTGGAAGTGAAACTATTCGTATTATCAAATGGAAAATGATCAATTTATTCGTATACAGTGAGTTTCCTATAAAATCGTGCACTGTTACGTTTATTTAATTTTTGATTGAAAATTATTGATATAACGTTTTTAGGATGAAGAAATTCTATATATATCTGTTAATATATACTTGAAATATTCAATAATTTTTATCTGATATTTTGTATTAGATGAAAATTTTCAACTCAAATTTATCGCTGATCAGGAACCTTAAAAAGAAATATATTTTAGTTTAAACAATCTTAAATATAAGCAAAGTACATTAGAATATTAAAATAATGGTTAATTAATCGTTAATTAATCGAAAAAAGTATATATTGCAATTTAGAAGCACTGAGTATATAGTCGGAGCACTGTCTTCCTCGAAATTCACCTTAAGACTGGCACGTTGTTCTCAATCAAAGTTCTTTTATTAAATTTTGTTTATATGACTTGTTTTCGTTTTTATTGCCTAAGGCTTCGTATGTATAACGGGTATAACATTCGTAATCTAAATAAAATTCAAGATTATACTTTTTTTTTCTATTTTAACGTCCTATTTATATGTAATACAACATTAATATAAAACAACTGTACATTAATTAAAATAATTACATAAGTATAATCTTAAAAATCAAAGTTACAATGAATATCATTTTGATAACTTCCAAGTTTCACTTCTTTCAACAAGAAAATAAACTAAACATGACTTTAAATCGTCGAGTTGTACTTAAACACACTTGTTCTTGTAAATTAGAATAAAGATCGATTATAGAAATACTATTAGAAAATTGTCCACGCAGGGTGTACTCTTCCTTTAAGATTTTTTTTCAGCGATAACAAAAAAGGAATCATTCAAACGACAAACAAAACGAAGAGCAAAGTGGGCGATTAAAAAAAAAAGAAAAGCGTGAAGATATAACGATGTATGGGCGGGCAGGGGTGGTAAAAAAATATAATAAGGACGAAGATCAGGATTGGCTGGATTGGATTGATATATAATTTCAGGGAATGATAAAAAAAAGGCTGAAATATCAACGGGGAAAAGTAATAAAAAATGGATTGACGAATTTTCTCGTATCTGTTCTCGTGTAGCAAGCAGCCGACGGGGCGGCAAGAGCGGCGGGCACGGTTTACCGCGTGGTCGCCGGCACTCAGAGCTTAGGGCTCGGTCTTAGTGCTTCGCGAGACGTCGCTGCCGCCGCCCCAGCTGCTGCTTCTGCATCATCATCATCACCATCATCATCATCTTCTTCTTCTTCCTCTACCCCTGGCGCATCTTCCTCGACGGCCGATGCATCCTCGACAGCCGCCCCTCAGTCAGCAGCCGGCACTCAACCACCATCGGTACGAGACCATCATCTCTCTCAACATCCTTCCAACCATATTGCCTACGGCCATTTTTAATTTCACTAATCATTTACTCACTTACTCACTCACTCATGTGTTGCAATGAATAAAAAATCGATTACGGTTTTTATCATTATTTCTACATATTTTATGATATTTCTATACATACGTTTATTCGGTTTTTCATTTTTCTCACGCGGACAATAACAATTTGAGTTGTATATTAGTAATGAATGAATTTTATTATCTTTTTTCAATCGATTTTATATATCGATTTTTATACAAATGTTATTTATTTTGTTCAGTTTCTTGTTGTAACAGTAATCGATATATATTTGATACTTTTGATATAGATAGATTAATTTTTATATTACTGAAATGATGCAATAATGAAAAAATAATTTATAGTATCGATATGAAACACCGCGATGCAATATCGATTATATACAATTTCTTTTTTTTTTTTTTTTTTTTTTCAATTTTTTATGAGTATTTCAAAATCCGTAATCGATTTTATAAATGTTTTCAACCCCTGATTTACTTTCTCTCTCTCTCTCTCTATGTTTCTCTCTTTTAAAAACTTCTTTTTTTATCTTTTACTATTTTTCTTCTTTTTCTATCTCTTGTTTGTGTATGTGTTTAACGCTAATACCTTTTAATCTCTGCACACTATCATAGAAAACTCACTACTGTACGATAAATAATAACGGAACAAGTATTATTTCAAAATTTTCTTTTTAGAAAAATTATAGAATTTGGTATTATTTTTCTATCTAAAATTTAAACCGAATAAGATAAACGATCGTATACTTTTACGATATAGTTCGATAATTTTATAATATCATCTGTTAATTAGAAACAAAAAAAAAGAAAAAAAAATATTCGCCAATTACGCGTATTCCTTATTTGTAAAAGATAATTACTCGGTCGAATAATCAAAGAAATAATTAAACCGTCTTTTAACTTGGAGTTTAATAACAACGTCGATTTACTGGCAATATAAAATGAGATTATAAAAGAACCAACGATAGATCTTCCTGTCTGACTTTCGAACCGCAAAACGTGAACTACCAATACTATCGTATCTCGCGTGTATATATGTACATTGTATATGTATATATGCATTAAATACGCAGGCACGCATGCATATATATTAGCACACTTTGCTTGTGGATGGTTCGAGCGTTTTTAAGTTTTCGCACTTTCTATCGTCGACTTAACATCGCTCATATGGTCTATACATTATCGGTTATGATAACCTTTTCCCATGGCTAAACTCTATCGTCTTTTTTCCCTTTTCACCGTTTATCTTTATTTATCTCTATTATTTCTTTCTTTACCATCTTCATTTCTATCTTTCTTTGTTTTACGCATTCTACGTCATTTGTGTTACTCGTCCACGTGTGTATCTCTACATTCCTCTAATTCTACCCCCTTTATTTCTATTACAAACGAATTACGTATCAAGATAAGAAAATATTTTTTACTATACACAATTATTATTATCATCAATATAATATTATTAGCATTTTAAAATGTAATAGTATATTTTTTAAAAATCTTGACACGTGACTAGAAACGTTTGTGTCTTACGTTAATCTTTCGAATCTTTACAAATTTCTAACATTATTTATCTCTATCTTTCTCTTTTTCTTTCTTACTCTGTCTTTTTCTAGATATTTCTATTTCTTTGTTCCCTTACATAATGTCAAACTATACAGCGTTTGATATCCACGATATATTCACCTTCGTGCTTTCTTTCTCTATCGTTAAAATCGTACTACTCCTGGGTCCTTCATTTTTCGCTCGAATCCATTCCAAGAATTCATGACCCGTCCGTTCCACCCCGGCCACAACGGTCCCGACGCAATCACCGACAATCACCGACTAAAAAAGGCAAATTGTTTTTTTGCCCAAATCGACTGGCCAATGGACGTTAAACCTCGTCTCCTCGTATCATATACGTGGAGTTTTTATTCTTATATTTCTTTTTTTTTTTCCTTTATTATTTTCTTTTTATTTTATCTTCCAATGCAAATATAAATCGCGACTCACGTTAATTATATATAGACGATTATTAATTATCGATTAATTGTACTATTTATTTTCACAGTATTAGCCGATCTCGTTTTAATCTTGCACCTGTAATCCTAATTTTCTTCTTTAGCAGCGTAGTTGTTGTTGTTGTTGTTGTTGTAATTTATTCTTTTAATTATTTTTTTGTTTGTTTAACGTAGTCCTAGCACAAGCAACGAGCAAACGAGATAAGCCAAGATTGTTCTTGTAATATATTACTGGATTGATATCAAACGTTTCGATCTTTCTTTCAAAGATTAATCATGAAATTGGTTCAATCGTTTACTCATTGCGCTACCATCACGTAGCCAAGTAGTTTTATCGTAATATCCGTTGTAAATCCGTTGTAAATATCAGCTCATGACGTACGTTCTCTGAGTAATGATTTTCCCTTTTTTTTTTATTCATTTCATTATTTTTACACAAGTATCATTAATACGTAATATACTTTGATATAATTTTTGTAAAAATCCTTTCAAAATTTGACGAGAACTTACGTCATTGACAACTTTTCAACGGATATTTCATTCAGTACATATATCATAGTCATCGTAATTATCATCATCATCATCATCATCATCATCATCATCATATAGCCATTATTATGATCATTATAATTAATTTTCTTTGTATCTCACCCTGCGTCGATATTCACTTACACGCCTCGTAGATTTACCAACATCACGAAACCATTATTAGAGTTGTTGTTATCGTAGCACGTAAGAAATATTAATTAGCAATATCGAATGGATATTCATGAAGTGTGATTGAAATATAAAAATTAGTTATAAGCATCGTTTGAAATAGATAAAGAGCACAACGTAGTGTCGGGAGCGCTGGAGCTGGACGTGGAGCTGCAACACACTGTAATTATGTCCTAACAAAATAAAGCAAACAAAGTAATGTAACGTAAAGTAAAGTAACCGAGAAAAGAAAAAACGAAAGAAGATGATATCGAACGTGATTTTCTCTATCTTTCTCTATTGATCTATCTATCTGTCTATCATCTCTATCCATCTTATCTATCTATCTGTCTGTCTGTCTCTTTCCTTTTTTCTCTCTTTAAATATATTTTACTTGTTTCTTTTTGATTTATTTATTTCTTCATTTTTTTTCTTCTATTTTTTCCTCAATTTTATAATACTTTGTTTAAACGTATGAAAACTTTTTTTCTATTAAGGACCTCGTATCACTTTGAAACATATTGCGTTACGTGCACGTATACTAAATTTCATAATGCATGTTGCATTTTTTTTTATGTGGTTTAATGTTAGAAGCAACTTGTATTTATGTCAAAATTAAAACACATATGTTTCAATGTATATAAGGTTGATTCTCCTTCAAGATACGTTTCTATTTTTCTCTTAGATGTTTCTTACTCTGTTCACTATCAGCATGAATATTATTAATTCATTCATTTTATCATTATATTTAGTCAAATCTCCTTTCAGATGGTAGCAGGAAGCGGTAGTCAAAGTAATTCGTCAGGTGATGCTTCTGCTGGAAGGACGGACGGTACGCAAGAAGCTATACCTGGACCAATTACCAGGCTCTTTGTTATTGCCAATAGAGGAATTTCGAATCTTCTTCAAGATCTTATACTCGTAAGTAGAAAAAAGAAAAAAAAGAAAAAATATCAAATGAAATGAGAAAAATTTTTAATCGAATAATGAACCAAAAATTTATTTTTTACGAGACAAATTTCGACTATTTCCTCATATAATATATAATTGTTTCTTTTATACGTTCGCGAGAAGTAATTTCGAATAAACAAGAATTTAAAAAAGTTATCATAAAATAAGAAATTGATTTTATACGATTCGAATTATTTACGGACGAAGGAACATTCTAACGATTGTTATCGAATACAATCACCGAGCCGAGACACGTTCGATCGTACAAAAATTCGCGTCTCTTTCTGTCTGCCTATTCGTCTATCTCTCTCTCTCTCTCTCTCTCTCTTTTTTTTTCTTTAATCACGTTGACGCATACAAAGAAATTAGAAAGTAATCGAAGATCATTTACCTTTTCTCTCTCAATCAATCAAACTTATATATTAAATAAAACTATTTTAAGATCGATAAGTCGTGTAATTTGAATAAAAATGAATAAAAAATAAATAAGAAATAGGAGACCGATAGCAGAGCTATCAATTTAATATGGCCGTTCTATGATCAAACGTAATGTTTCATTATATACCAAATGGTTGCGTGATATTACAACCCAAGTAGCCAATACGTTTCTAAACGTTGAACTTTGAGCTTCTAATGAAACAAGTTTGTACACCTCCTTCGGGTAACAATCTTTGCAAGGACATTAGATTGGACGGAAAAAAGGAAGACAGAAAGATAAAAGATAAAAAAGAGAGAGGAGGACTTTAAACTTATGTAGTAATGTCGTAAAAGGGATCGTTTTATTCTAATTAGATGACTAATAATATTTTTTTTTTTTTATGATCGACGTATATATCATTGGACAAATCAGAAAGTTAAAAATCAAATCTTAACGTACAAAGTCGAAATGATTTATTTTTCACCAATGCGAATAGGAATGAACGAACGAACGAACGGCTACTACACTTCGTTCCAGATATATAAACCGGGCTATTACGCAAGCGACCCGTGTCAGGATCGATGGAAAGCAAAAATGTAAGCGCGACTTTCTCTATGAAATAGCTCCTCCGTTCGTTTGCCACCGTCTTGTACTTGTATTGACTTATGCAAGAAGTAAATTCACTACGACTTTTGGCACGCGAGATCGCTAGGGGCACTCGAAGAATTATTTATTAATATTGTCTCGTTTCTACGAATCGAGAAATCAACCAAAAAGAAAAATCAATTGTGACGAAAAAAAAATGTTGATTTGTCAAATGATATATATATATATATATACATTTTTCTTATCGAGTAAAGAAAAATAAAATCCCGAGAAATCAATCGACTCTCTCTTTCTATCTCTTTTTATCAACAAAACCCTTTCTAATAGTCGACATATGTTAATATCCTACGTAGAAAATTATAAACGTTCGATATTATCGTAGAAATGTTACCTTACAGATTATTTTATCATTCGAAATACATTGACAAAATTTCAGAATAATAATTCATAGGAAAAGGAGAAAAAGGAAAGAAACAAACAAACAAAAAAATCGTAAAAAAATAAATTGAAATTTTGGTAAATAAAAATTGAATGATACGTATATATCAATCTTTTTCTTTTTTTTTTTTTTTTTCATTTTTTAGCGCTTGGCTGCCACGAGCGAACGTATCGTCAACTTCAAGGCACGATTGATCACCTCGATTATCTAGGATCATGCAAGAAGTAGGATACAGATCTATAAGAAACATCGTGAGAGTCTTCGTGATAAAATTACGTAGCACTAATCGCGATTGAAGAAAGCCAACCCTGCCGGAGGACCACGGGGTACGACGTCGACAACATTATCGACATATATCCTTTTTCTCTATCTTTCTTTTACTGAATCTTTATTTTTTTATCTACGATCTTTTTAGATTTTCTATACGTCGAATGTTGTCCCCTTGTCCCTGAGATCCAAAAAAAAAAAAAGAAAGATAAAACAACGAATTCTCATCGATCATTGCTCAGAATGTGTCCATATTTTTTCTCTCTCTTTTCTTTTCTTTTCTTAATTATTAATTATTAATTTCTTTTATAATTTAATGTTCTCAACTCTCTCCCCTCTCTTTTTAATAGATTTTCGTCTACTTAATTATTTCTTAGATGATTAAAAAAAAAAGAAAAAAAAAAGAATAATAAATGGAGATCCCTACTTCGATTTAGAAGAAAAAAAAAACACAAAAAATTTCTTGAAAGAACGCATCTTATACTAAGATCATTCAAAAATAGAATCGTTTGAGAAGAATCTTACAAGATGCGCATCTTTCGACGATCGATGAGAGAGAAACACTGAGTTGCATTTATGTTATGTTGTTTTGCAAAGTTTTGTACATAGACCTGTGCCTCATACCCCATACCCTGCCCTATTTTTCTAAGAACACGTTCTACAGTGTCAAACACTGATTGTTTTTTTTTTCCTTTCATTTTTCCCCTCTTTTTCTCGTTTTAATTATAATTATCAACTAAAAATATATTTACGATGAAATATGTGCAAGCCTATCTCTTGTCCGTTTCATCGAGCAGAGATTTTTTTTTTTTCTTTTGTTCAAAACAAATTTTAGATGAATAGAGTAAAAAAATATTAGAGCGTTATAAATTGCGCTGTGAAAATAATAATAATAGTTGAAGGTTTAGGTTACTTTTTTGTTCTCTTCTTATATCTCTTTCTATCTTTTTGTTCTCTCTCTTTCTCTCTCTCACTCTCTCTTTCTTATTTCTATTTCGATGATTATTTCTACGAGTAAATTTGTGTCATTTGGAAAAATAGAAAAGAACCTAGTGAAATTGATCGGATTCTCGATTGATTTTCAATACTAATTTGAGATAATACATTATTTCAAAAGTTTCCTTATCTAACTCTTCGTTTGCAACTTAATTCAATTGCATATACAGTGAGTACCAGAAGTATCCATACACGCTCCTATTGTCAATTAAAAATTGATTAACATTTTCGTGTATATTGCAAGCAAACCTTCGGAATTTTTAAATACAGAAATCTATTTTAGGATTAATCAACTTTTAAATTAATATAAATTTAATTACAGAATCAAATTTTATTCTTATAGAAATATAAAAAAATATTGATTATTTTTAATTGACAGTAGGGATACAAATACTTCTGTAACATACAATACGCATTAACATACTTATGTATTTACTCGTCACCATTCGAATGCAAAAAAAAAAGGAAGTGAAACGTTTCCTATCTTATTCTCTCTTTGAATCTTCACAAAAATATTAGAAAATTCAAAGAGAAAATTGAATGCAACGTTTTGAAGAAAGAAAATGTGCCCTCTCGTAACGCGAACGAAGTCCATTATATATTTATATGTGTAAATCGAACCCGTTGTTTTGTGTAGTGTAAATAAATATTATTGTAATAAGAAAAAAAAAAAGCCAATTATTATATTTATTGTAATTCTAATACCCCATTCTTACGATTAAAGATTATTTAAAAAATATTACTAATAATGATTCGCGTACAGCGATGTTAGTTTTACAGCGAAGCAATTGCCGAGAAGGAATTACTCATGTGTTCATCAATAGATAAATGTGTTCATCATAAAGATAAGATGTAAGTAAAAATGAAAACTTACGATGCATTCCAATAGAGTGAAGCTCAATGGCATCATGGTGATGTATCTCGC